GAGGAGAATGAAATGGTGCAAACTGGAACATGAATCCAGACAGGAAACACAGAGTCTGTGCAGACAGAAGGAATCATCCATATTTTCCTTTTATAGGACCTAAGTTCAGTTTCTTACCTGGAGTAGTGTTACTCAAAGACCACTTCTCTTCAGAGCCACAGTAGCTCTGATTTTAATACAATTTAATCTACTTCCGAAGAATCAGAATAGTTATCAATGCACATGACCACTTTCCAATTTCGAGTCTGATGGCATCAACATAAGGTTTATGTTACTACAGAAACACCCATGAGCCCTGCCTTATCAAAGCTGCCCAAATACTGCCCGATCTGCAAAAAAGTAGCGACTCAGCCAAATTGAAAAGAGTAGAGTGCTCTGTGTCTTAAAGCAAAATATCCATTTGGATGGTTATGATGTAACCATACAAGTGTCTTCTTGCCTGGTGCTACACATTTATTGGCATCAGTAGGTCACCACTGTTTTAGACACAGCTCTCTGCCTTAGGAAATGAGTTCCTCCCCCATCCACCTGAAGATTGCTTTCACCCCTACACTCCTTGCTTTGTCAGCTGTCGCACTAGTAGCTTGCTTGCCAAGAAAAGCCTTATGGATATATTTTTAACTGGGAAAAACTAGATAGATAAACTCCCTGCCCATAGTATTGTAAGCACTGCTGTTTTGCCTGGCCCCCTTGTGTTAAACAATAAATTTTAACTTAAAATATAAATAGTAATAATTATAATCAGTAGTCAGATTAATCAATTCCTCCGCCTTCCTGGGAACCCTGGCATCCACAACCTTCATATGTTCTCTTCAGTCTCAGGTGAGAACATGCTCTCAAGTAAATGGGTGGCATAGGACTCTGGCTGCCAGTTACAGAGGCTGAGTGTGCCAGCACGGCACCCGGCAGCTGGGCAGGATGACAGGATGCCTGCTAGATCCGAGGGGCCCCTGATGAGCTCTGCGACCTCAGTTTTGCGCATGGTCCTTACCTGTGGCCCTGGTCAGGAGCATCACCGGCCTGGAAGTCACATTCACACCTGTGGTCCTGCTATGGCAGGAAGTGTGGAGCCCCCCAGGTGACCTCCATCCGAGCTCAGGCTTAGAAACATGCTCATCCCTGTCCCCCTCTGCTAAAATGGATTTGCTGAGAACCACCTTGGCAAGGCCAAAGAAGGAAGGGACCACTGAAAAGAACTGACTCACAGGCAACAAGAATGTCTCCATCACCTTTCAAATCCAAGGCCTAAACGAAGAATAGGAAAAACAAAGCGAGGTGTGGCTGCTGCAGGCTGGGAGGGAAATGTGCCCCCTGCCAATGGCAGGTCAGTACCAAAATAGGCCTCTGGCTGCAGGGCAGACCCTGAAGATCAACCACTGACTTGTGATGGGTGACCTGCCCCAGGAGTGACACGAGACGCCGCAGGCCAAGGCTGCTGCTCTTCTGTGACTAAGGGCAGCACAGACTCCAGTCCCCACGCAGCTCCCCCAGGGAACGAGAGGGGAATTCTCCTAACTGACGTCAAATGCTGGAAAGGAAGCAAAGCCTTGACCTTAAACTTGGCCACGGGTCCATGCTCTCATCCAGGAACGGAGCCAGAGGGTGCTTCTGGCACCGCCCGCACAGCGGCAGCCCTGCTCCAAGGCAGGGAACCCTCTGCTGCCCGCCTCACAGGAAACACACGGCCCTGAAATTAGCAGTGCGCCCTGCTGACCTGCCTGTCCCCAGCCCGGACCTCAAAAAGCCAGGGCTCGGCCTCTGTTCCTCCCCGAGGCTCCACTTCTGCCTTCGTTTTACAAGAGCAGGGTTCCGAATCCGCCCTGGAGTGAAAGTCTGGCCTCCTCCCCTAACCCTGCTCCTGCGGTTCTCATTTGCAATCTGGGTTTTCTCCTCGTTCGCGCTCTCCCTGTGCCCCTCTTCTTTTCCCTCTTCTTTCTTCCCTTCTAAATTGTTTCTTACGTGTTCAGTCTTTCTCTAGTGTAGAATTCTGAATTATATAAAGAAGAGTTTAGCCCTAGGATTTTTAAGTGTAAACACTGTTTTATTGCACAATAATAAAATACAACTTTACTGACTCAGGGAAACGAACAATAAATTTTAAATATTTAAAAATAAATAACATCCTGTTGACTCGGCTGTCCGAATAAAAAGAAATCTCAGAACGCATCACAAAATATTACTGATAAATTATTAGACAAACAGGTTGCACGTCCCTTACCCAAAAGTCCTGGCACACAAAGTGCTTCCGATTTGGGGCTTTTCTGCATGTACGAATGTTTGCACAGACTACTAGTTAAGCATTCCCAATCCACAAGCCAAAAATCCAAAATGCTCTGAGATCTGGACCCTATGGAGGGGCATCTGATTCGCCATTTGGGAGCATTCCAGATGTCAGATTTCTGGCCGGGGTGGTTAAACTCTATCTCAAAGTACAGAGTGTCATTTTCTCTCATCAGCCTGCCTTGCTTTTCTTTTGCAGTCTCCTCAGGTTTCAGCTTTTGCTCTGGAAACCATGGGCTGGGATATAGTAACTTGGCTGCTGGGTCTAAATGCTTGGGTCTCCCCAACTCTCTCTATTGACCCCCATCTGAGAGACTCGGAGGGAAAGCCCTGGGCAGTGTTAGGTCTGCAGACGGGGCTGGAAGCCTTGTGAATGGGTCACTGCCCTGCTGAAGGGCCCAGGGAGATGCCCACCCTCCCTCCTCCGAGGGACACAGGAGCCAGTGCCCTCATGACCCAGGGCAGCCCAGCACAGACACAACACCTGCCTGCACCTCAGCCTTGGACTTCCCAGCCTCCAAACTTTGGGGAACGATTTCTGTGGGCCATTGCCATCCAGTGTATGGGATTTTTATTACAGCACCCTGAACAGGAAAAGTCAATGGATTTCTGTTGAATTAAACATAAAAAAATCTTCCCCCTTCTATCCAAATATTATTATTTTTTCTCTCCCTCTGCTACCTGTATGTTTTACCGTTTTGTTCCCAGAAAAACGAGCAGAGATCACGGTAGTGATCCTCCTTGATTTCCCACTTCATCAAGAAAAGTCAAGTGTACCCCGAAGGGAAGATCTCCTGCTCTGGTTCTACTCCCAAGTGCTACTGCTATGACTCTCACTGTTCTGTGCTGGCTAACAGCCCTTCTCCACTCCACGGCCCTTTTCCACTCCACAGGAAGTCCTTCTCCAACCCCACAGGAAGTCCTTCTCCAACCAGAGTACTGACTCCCAGAGCATCTTCGAATCTGCCTTCTAAAGCTGGTCCAGTGTCATCTGGGAGCTGGCTGGCAGGAGCTGGGTGTGGTGCATCCTTCACTGAGGCAGGGGAGATCAGAGTGGGACTCCAGAAAGGCCTGGGGATCGGGGATAACACAGCCCTGATTCTCCCAGAATCCCCTGGGTGTCCCTTCGGGACAGAGTCTGGTCACACAGAAGAGGCAAGGAAGATGTCTCAGAGGACACAGCACTCTAAAAATCTACTCCATAGGTTTTCTTCAGCTGTTACTACCACAGCCTGTAACACTCACTGTGCTCACTTGTGAATTTAACACAAATCCTTCACTGAAAGTCACACACTATCATGTGAAATGGAGAAAAGGCAAATTCAACAAAATATGTCATTTGTTCTCATCAAAAATAATACACTCAATGATAAAGACGTTAAGATAATACTTAACATTTTATCATTACTATACAGGTAGACGTTTTAACCAATAAAATTTTTAAAAGTAATTTCATTCTTGCGGGTTCTGAAATAGCAGTTAGGTAAAATATTTAATATTTTAGGACCTAAGAGAGGAAAGCACATCTGCATTTCTTTGGTCCCTATATTTTCATTTTCTGCAGATAGGGAAAATGCAAGACACCATTTTGCATTACGGGAAAACAATGCTCAGAAAGAGACGCAGGATAAATCTGTGGCCCAACTCGGTCGCCAATGGTCCTGCATGGATTCATACCACTGGGCAAGTCTGCCTGCTGCCTCGCCCTTCTTCTACATATAAACAAGAAAAACAGCACTCCCGGTCAAAAATAAAATGTATATACAGCCAATTTCTCATACAGAAATCATTAGGGACATTTCGATCAAGGAAGCTGTAGGATGGAATTGAAGACAGCTTTTCCTTCTGGAACAGTCACATTCAAATACACATTTGAAGACCAATAATATGCTAAGCACGTCAAGACTGAGAAGGAAGAATCACTTACTAGTGTACATGAATATGGCCACATGTCCCTTTCCTTTCACAAAGGATGATATTCTCTGTCTAAACTTTCCTTCTACCAAAATGGAAATATGCAAGGGGAATAAACATATTCACCATCTCTGAAAATGAAAGTCTTCAAGTTGAACCAACTTCTCAAAGAGGGATCCCAACTGCCATATCAGATGCTCTCCTTCCTGGTAAGGTTAATTTTGTGGCCTAAGAGCAGCACACTTTCACAAAATGCACTTCTGTCCACCAGACAGACAGGAAGAGAGCACCCTAAAGTAAAGGCACAACATCTGGCCACAAACTGCCACAGGAAACAGCTCAGTGGCTGGCAGATGTGTGTGTCCCAACCCAGCCTTCACAGAACGGCTGAGGACTGCGCTGGGACACCTCCGCGACTGCCAGGTGGGGACCACACTGAGAGGACCTTGGCACTAAGCCGGTCTCTGCTTCAATGCTGGGCCAAGCTTGCGCCCTCTGGCTGGTGTCCCTGGGGAGATCTCTGTGCTCTGCGCCAGGTCCTGTCACGATGGATGAAGGGTGCACCACCTCAATCCCAGCAGGACGGTGCCACTGTTAAGCAGCATGTGGAGTGGAGCACAACCTCCTGAAAACACTTTATACATGAGGATTCCCACGTTCCACAGGCCAGCAACACCCCAGTCTTCAGTCTGTGGACTCTGCCATACCCAAGAGAGGTGAACATGGTGTCCCAGGACAACCCTAAGCCTCAGACTTTTTACCACAGGGAGGACAGGCAGGGCGCAGGATGCATCCCCGGGACTCACCTGTGACAGGTGCATCAATGTCCAGCAAGTTCTTCTCCTGTCGCAGAATCGAAGCACCCTCTGTTATTATTCTCAATGCCACGCTCTCTTCCAGCCGGCCCTCCTTCATGAGATGTGCTTTCAGGATGTCCACCCGAGGTTTCCCATCGTTGTCAAACACTTCCTTTGCTGTGAGCCGGTGACTTGGAGGAAACGGAACAGCTGCAAGAAAAAAAAAAGTCAGAGGATTTCATTAACAAAACTCAACAAAGATTCAGCCATAGCCAGCAAACACCCATGCTCCTGCCGGATCCCAGGAGGACATGCTGAAAAGTCTCCACACTGAATGAAATAGCATCAAGGGCTTCGGAGAATTACAGACAGCTTCTCCCTTTGCTTCAAGGTGGAATGTGACTGTTGAGAGGGAATTCAGAGATCAAATCCCTTCAGTACTCTCTTGGGTTTCTGAAAGATCCCGACTGAGTATTTCTTTTTAAGAGAAAGTCTTCTGTTAGGGAAAATCAACTCCACAAAGACAGTGGTTCCCTAACTTTCAACTGTGAGCCACCAGGGCCAAGCTGGCCCCAGCTCTGAAGTGGGCTCCTCTGCCTGGATTGAAGGAATGGGAAAGTTATTCCAACTCGATGTGCTGGTCCGACTCAAGGCCCATCTCTGAGCTAACCGATCCCCTCCCTGGCAGAAAAAGGCACAAGCACACTCAAAACTGAAGAGGAACTCAGATTTGCGTGTGAACATGCAGGTCCTTATGTTCGTGGGACCCCAAAGAGTGATAGGACAGTATGCACCAGGGAGGAGACAGGTAATTGGAGAGCCATACAAAGGCAAAGGCACTCACTGCTCAGACTCTCCCAAGACTGAGGTCCCTGATCCCTTGCACACCCTGCCCGGCCACACGCAGAGTTCTCTTGCAGTGCCTGTCACTGGAACACCCGAGGGCTGTACACTCAGTAGTGAGTCAGCCACAGCCCCTTCTTCCGTCCACCGCCCAGAGGTGCCGGGGCCTCCAAAACTGCATGGTCTCACAACCGCACAAGGTTAACTTTCTGATCACAGCCAGAGAACCACTTATAACCTCACTACTTCTGTAGTTCCCTGGAAGGTTCATCCACTGGACAAACACTCCAGTGCACCAGAGTTACCCCGTGGACCTGCCACGCGCCATATGCTGGGGCTGCCCCACCGGAGAAGCCCTTCTCTTCCCAGGAGGAACACCTGATACCAAGGAAGAAACGGGCTCACTCCAACAAGGGTCTAAAGAAGCAGGACAGTGGACACATGCCAAGCCATCTGAGATGGACGGGGGCTGTTGTGCAATCAATAGCACCGATCCGTTCTCCAAGTGAAGCTGTAACTACTTTCCAAAAACCAGGAAATGGGCCTGGATGGACGCAACGTGACATTTCCCAACTCAACCACATCTACTTATGTACTCAGCCAAAGCAAAGTGCCAGGGACAGACTCCACCAGCCCTGCGACCTTGGGCAAGTTAAATAACCTCCTCTGGCTCTAGTACCTTACCCAAGAGGTGGAGTCTGTCTGAGGACTGCTATCATAACGACAGTAAACAGTAATCATAGCAGCTAATAGTTACCACTCATTTTTTTACCAGGGATAGCATGGGTAACACAATCAGGTCCAATGGCAAGGCTGTAAAATGATATGGTTTGTAAACCCATACATGACTAGGGAGAAACCTGAAGCTCAAAAGTACTCCGCACCTCCCCATGATCATCACCCCATGATTTAAGGGACACTCACTAAGCTAAGCTGCTTCCCGTGAGGTACTGAACATGATGTTTAAGCTGGGGATGTAGCTCAGTGGTTCCATCGCCTACTTTAAAGATGATGCTTAATGACTACAGTGATTAGCAAATCACTTTTTATATGGAAATGCTAATAAATACTGATGTATGTTTCTTATTTTTAAAAGTTTTCATATGAAAAAAGTCTTTACTTTAAAAAAGTGTTTTGGGCTGCTTTATAAAAGAAAAGAAAAAGGCAATAATGCCAAAGTTAAAAAAAAAAAAAGATACACGATTTCAATGAGGAGATAAAAGGAGGAAATTAGGTCATTACGCTTGGAAGTTACTTTGCCCATTTTGTTTCTTTGCTCTCCCTGCTATTTCCTCTTGCCTGAGTAATAGGGTTTTATCGCTGAGAAACAGATATTCAATGGCCACATCGTTTTAACCTACGTCTATGTGTTCTGAGATTAGTAAGCATCTTGTCTGGCAATTCCTCAACACTCCTCTGGCTACAGGCCCCAAGTCACAAAGGGAGAGACGGAGAGGGGGAACTTCGAAAAGATGCGAGAGCTGATTTTTTCAAAAGTGATTTCCCACCCGGTGAGTCAGGCAATGGCAAAGGTTTAAGCGGCCCAGCGAACCTGTCAGGCAGAAGTCACAGGCACTCAGAGGGAAGGAACTCATCTACTTTTCTGTAGACAAAGGCATTGGTTTTGGCTACACTGGCACTTGTGGGCTCTGATAAACCTAACAGAGATCAAAATATTCAACCTGCACGAGCAGAAGGACCTCAGGAAGAGCCTCACCTTGGCGAATCTGACTTCCTTGGCATCCCTGGACTCTCAGGCAAAAACCGCACAGAGACACGCGTCCCACCCGGCCCTGCGGAGGCTGTTCCCCTGCAGTGCATGCTCACCCTGAAGCAGCCAGCAGGTCGGCCACCTGCTCTGGCTGCTGAAACTGGCTCCAAAAAACAGGATGCAAAGGCAGGCAAGATGGCCAATGGAAAGGCTCTGCTCCAACTGGCCGATGGGGACACTGGTGAGCCCAGGCCCTGTACCAACCAGACAGATGGCAGAGCCCACAGGAACAGTGGCAGCAACAATGCGGGTTGATGCAAGGACGCTCACAGAGTGCTGCTCCCTGGGCCAGCACAAAAGTGGGCTAATATTTGTATCTGTGCACCTTTGGGCTTCATAAAGGAAATGCCAGCCTCACAAAGGTCACATGTATTTACTTTCTCTGTTCACCTTCATCCTACATGCAGACCTGTACCAAATAATGAGCAACAACTGTTTGAACCTAAGAATCCAATATGCTTGGAAAGCATTTTGTTTTCATTAACTAATTGTGAAGGTGGCTATGCCTAAATAATAACATTTGAGCCCCCTTCACTTCCTTTGCTTTGAATATTACAACTGCCTTTCTTTGAGATGTGACTGGAGAATAACTTTGTGCCTGCTGCTACTACAAATTCTCCAATAGCTGTTGATATTTAGGCTGCCTTATTCCAGAACAACTGTCTCACAATTGCCTATAAATACAGCATACAATGTCCTCTAACAGCTCAGATGCATCCTAAACATTAGAATGTTTCTCTATAATGTCCATGCTATGTCTCTTTTGCCCTCAAATGAATAAAACAGCAAGTTACATGAAATGTGGGACATGCAAGTCCTTGACTGAGGCCTGTTTCACAGGAAACAGCCAGCTCTAAAAGCAAATCTCACTGTGGACAGGGCCCCCCATCCTCTGCGGGGACAGTGGGAATCTGGCAGGGACCCATTTCCAATGGTCAAGGGTATGATATTACTCCCTTCCCATTTGCTGATTCCAACCAAGAGTTCAGTTATCTGACGCGGAGAAAAGTAACAAGTTTCCATATCAGAACCAGATGGACCCAATATTGGCATCTATCTGACAACTATGGAAGCTGTTGTCAGCTATGCATTCAATATGTTCCAAGTCAGGAAATGCGCAGCCACAGGAACTCTAGCCCTCCATCTAGGCAACTATGAGGACCACACCTCAGGAAGGCCCACTGGTCTCTTCCTACATTTTGGGCCGAGTGAGCTTTAAACCATCACTCTGTATGTGGCTGAGGAGCTGAAAATGATCTGATGCCTCTGCAGCAGGTCCAGCTCACTGGCATTTCGTGGTCTCAAAACTGAGAAACTCCTGGCTGGGCATTTAGCTCAGTGGTTCCACCACCTGCCTCTTCATACGCGAAAACCCGAGTTTGATCCCCAGTACCAAAAAATAAATAAAATAAAAGTTAAAAAACTGAGAAACTCCTAAAGGGATTCCCGATATTTGTTAGGAAATATCAGAGGGCCGTGGTCTATAACAACTTCCTTGGAAGGAGAAACAGGATTGCTGCTGTTGACCTCTGCTTGGAGAAATAATATGAACGTTGACAAGAAAGAATCACATGCTTAAAAAAATTATCCTAGTGGTTTTTTTTTCCTTTTTAGTCTATGACACCATCCAAAGGAAAAAAGTACCCTTAAAACAACCAGCATGGTTAGTTCTCCTCTCTAATGGCTGCTAAAGAATGTTCACAATATTTGGGGGCTCTTCATTGTGTTTTTTTTAAAGTTATTTTTGGAAAAGCTGGGGGCAGCTCCATGCTGAGCACACACTCTACCCCTGCCCCAAAGGGCTTTTGGAGCAAAAGTTACAAAACTCTCAAAGCTTGCTTACACAAAAGGAAAGTAAAATATAATTACAAACAGTGGATGGATGAATTACCAATACCAAAAATTAGGCAGTGGCACAACCATCACTACCACCAAGCCTCCTAATTTCTATTCCAAACTTTAGCCGGTAGACCTGCGCTGTCTAGAAAGGTTTTGCCTAGCCATGGGCTGCTGCCCAGCTCTTGCAAAGCAAGAGGCCAATCTACATAAAGTCCAGGATTTAAAAGACCTAACATGGGTGGGGAGTGCAGGGGAGAAATATCTCATTAATATTTTAAAGTTACTTTATGTTGAACTAGTAGGATTTATGACATATTGGCTGCATAAAATTTTTACTAAAATCAATGCCACCTTTTTTTTTTTTTTTTTACTTTCTTAACATGTAGCTACTACAGCATTTAAATTCCACACGTTCCTTTTACTGAAACACAGTGCAGTACCCAACAGGTGCTGACATATATTCCTCATGTATCTCTTCTACTGAGCCATGACTCCAGAATTTGCATTCCTCCCAGTCAGTGAGAACAAGGTAAGCAGACATTATATTCCTGTAACCTTTCTTCTTTTTTAGCTTTCATTTGATTCTTATAAAACCTCCAACTTTCCCACCACTAACTCCAACTGGAATTGCTTTTTCAAAAGAAAGGTCCTATTTCCTACCCCAGGAGATCTGGATTTAACTGGTGTAGGGTCTGACCAGGGCAGTGGCTGTGTCTCAAGGCTTCACGCGATGCCGGTGTGAAGTCAGCTGGGGACT